CCAATGAACGGCAACTTTTTCCTGAAGGAAAGAAATACTATCTGTGACTTCTGCAGACAGTGACCACATCTGAGACGACAGTCTGTTCCACGTGTTTAAGATTGCTATGGGCTAAACATAGCAGCCGCTCAGTAGAGCGCTTATACTCTGAAACTCCTAACGCTGGGGTTGGAAGGCAAAACACAGCTTACTTTAAATAGATTCCTCCAACAGAAAGCTATATAAGAAGGAGATGGGAGTGGGGGGGCCTTTTCTATAGTTAGAAAAGCAAACATCCCTTAAGGGTATCAATTTTGCTTTCCCAGGAGTAAAACCTAGTGCAGTCATACTCTCTAACTTTAAATGTAATCTGATCTGGTCACTTGTAATCTAGGCCTTTCAAGTCCAAGAAGAAGTCTCAAAGAATCTCTCTCTCTCTCTCTCTCTCTCTCTCTCTCTCTCTCTCTCTCTCTCTCTCTCTCTCTCTCTGTCTCTGTCTCTCTGTCTCTCTCTCTCTCTCTGTGTGTGTGTGTATGTGTGTGTATGTGTGCGTGCACACACATGCCTCCATAGCACACACGAGGAGATCAGAGAACAACCTTGGTGTCCAGGTGTCCGCTACCTTTTCTTTGACCCAGGGTCTCTCTTTGGCTTGGAACACCATCACAGAGTCCAGGCTAGTGTGCTCCCACACTTCCAGGGGCCCATGTGTCTCAACCATCCACCTCACTGTCACTGAAATTGCAGAGGCATTCTATGTACTGGATTTTCCATGGACTCTGCCGATGGAACTCAGAGGTCTCCAGGCCTTCAAGGAAATCCATTTATTGAATGAGCCATCTCTCCAGCCTAACATACTGCTTCTTGCTTTTTTTTTTTTTGATGGCTATTGTCTGGGTGTAATTGAGAGTAAATGTCATCCCCTTTTCATGTCTGTCTTCAGTCATGGAAAGCAAGCTGTGGTGCAGCTTTTCAGATGTTGAAGCCTCACAACTTAGTACAATAAACATACTGTTGGTAAATCGAGCCAGCGCCCCCGTAAATTCTTCTAAAAGCAACCTTAGAATTAATGCCTCACTGCTGCCCTAGAAAAGGAACTTTGGGAACTGCCCTGACAACCATGTGGAATTAGGTAGAAGGCATGAAATCTGCAGTTCTCAAACATACGCAAATCCTGTCTGCCCTCACCGTTTTTCTTAAGCGTTGTTGCTTTTCAAGTCAACGGCTGTTTTGAGCCTCAAAAGCTGATGATTCATTGCAGGTCTGTTCTAAAATGTGTCTCACAGATACACAGTGAAGTGTGTGTCCCAGAACAGCACTGGGGAGTTTTAAAAGTCTGACTCAAAAACACTGTCTGCTACCTTGTTTGATTTTTTCCCTCATCTCAGATGTCTGGAGAATGAACATATGTTGAATTCAGACCACAGAGGGCGAACTCACGCACAGGACTCATCTCCTGAGCCTATCAGTCTTCAAAGGTCAGTTTCATTAAGAGTGTTGTGATTTCCAGGGGCTATCCTCTGGTCTTCGAGTTTTGATCTAACTATGACACGTAAACAGGAGAGAAAAAGGGAAGGCCTACAAGAGCTGATTGTCTAAGAGCTGCAGTTAGCACAAGAAGGTTAACACAATTCTGTAACTAAATGGACGCTTGGCATGAGCCTTATGCTCCCTCCTAACATGAACAGCTTATAAAAGGAAGAAGAAAGAATTTTAAGCCCAAACAACCGAAGACCAAGGAGTATATTTGCTAAAATAACTATTTCAATACTATTTGACCCTGAAGTACAGCAAATTCCTAACAAAACAATGATCTTACTAAAAAGTAATAATCTTGGTTTTTAAAGAAATTTGAAGAAATATTGTGTTACAAATATCAACTAACTGTGTAAACACTGCATACAGACAGTATTTCACTGTGGGGGGACTGTGTTCAGGAAGTAAGATTTGAAGAGAAGTAACTTTTAACAGAAATGCTAAATTAAAACTAAAAAACATGAAGTTAAATGATAATTATCTCTGTTGTACAGTAATTATTTCCTGAATAATCAAAGCAACACATCCTTTGAAGAATGTGTCCATTTCAGTACCGCTTGCCCATCTAGAATGTATAGAAAAGATCCATCTCACTGTTAGCCTATGATTTCATCAAGTAACAACAACAAGGAACCAGAGGTCACTAAGTTGGCTCCCGACGACGACTAATTTCACTCCCGACGACGACTAATTTCACTCCCGACGATGACTAATTTCACTCCCGACGACGACTAATTTCATGGTTTGCGTTTACTCAGGGAAGTGAAGGATCATTGGCCAGCAGTGTAAACATGTGATTTATAACAACATCCTTTGAGTTCAGAAATAATGCTACTTACACAGCTCATGGGTGGGATGGCATCAGAACCCTGCCTGAGGTCCACTGTACTTTAAAGTGTCCCTCACCCTAACTTCTCATTTTGCTGTATACGTATTTGTGTTAAAAATCAGAAAGGGTACATTCAACAAACATGGCATGTTAGAGTATCAAACAATTTCCTACTATAAAAAATAGGAAAAACTACATTTATGTAGATTTTCCAATATAATTCTCAAGGTCTAAATTTTGTACAAATGCATACATTTTGAAGCAATAAACCTTTGCCAGTTTTGCAAAGTGAAGAACGGCAGAATAAAAGTTCTCAGAACACATTGCATTTTACATTTCTCTACGCTCTCTTGAACTCTGCTGTTAAGACTATTTATTTACTTTTCTTTCACGAGGGTGGGACTTCTATATGAGTGTACCCCTGTGCACACGCATACTGTGCCCTGGAAGGCCAGAAGAGGGCGTTGAATCCCTAGGACTGGAATTATAGACAGTTGTGAGCTGCAGAGTGGGTGCTGGCAATCAAAAGCCGGGTCTCAGGTAATTTATAACTCTCTGAGGAGTAGACAAACAAAAGCTGTCATTCTCTCTGGATAATTTGTGTCATTATGGAGTAGGAAATTAAAACCTCCCTGTATGTGGCTGATGTCAAGGTTGAGTCAATCCATATAAGACCAAATATAATAATCAATCAAACTCACGTCATAAATGATAGGACTTAGAAAGTGCTTGATTTGTTCACCTATCCCTACCACCGGCTGCCGACGTGTTTCAAGGCTCTGAATGCTTAAAGCGATTATTAAAGAATAATGTACCATTGTAAGAATGGTAAATTATATATTACTGTAAATGATTTCTCTTGATTATTTTATTAGGAATAAGAGAAAAATGAAGAGCCACAGACTAGAGTGGGAAAGATTAAAAATGATGAGACTGAGCTTCTGTCCATTTGAACAGCGCCAGGTCTTCACATCTTGGTTAGAAATTTGACATATGCTAATAGAGATGGCTCTGTTGGGGTGTGAGGACGGGGACTAAAAAGCAAAGAACACGGTGTCATGTTCATGTAAACGGTGCAGTTAGGCAGCAGCACACAGAGTGTTTATACTGCTGGTTACATTCCTTCGATGGCGATGGTGGTGATGGTGCTCGCTTCCGCTGTAGCTGGGATGAGACCAGCTCTGAAGTTCATTATTGATGCAGGGAAGCAAAATTTGAGTTTATTTTGCATCTCTTGACAGCTTGGTGGATTTTTTCAATGAACTGGAGTCTTCAAAGTGAAAACCCCATCACAATTTAGGCCATGTATCATGAAAAAAAGTCACAGCATATGGGACAGAAGGCAGGACCTGCCAGATGTGTCGCGAGGGCCGCTGCACTCAGTCTCGACCTCACCTCCTGCTTTTCTTCTTTATCTAACATTCTGGCCACAGTTCCTCCTCCTTCTCATCCTCCCCACCGCTTTTACCTGTGATTGGACATCTCAGGCCTCCGGCTTCCGGACCTTAATGACACTAGAATCTATCCTGAGTTATTTTCAAGGGGTACTACAAAGTCCAGAAGACAGATGTTTTAAATAATTTAAATATTACAGATAGGTGGTATCACAGATAACTTGGGCTTTTTATTGATAGGTGATGTAAAAAATTATCTAAAAGGATAATACTGAATTTAAAAGGAGAGTTTGAGAGGGTCGTGGAAAAATGGGAAATGACATAATTATTGGGATCTTTGACTATTCTTTATATTGAAAAATTTACAGAGTTCAGTTGCTTTAAAATGTATGTACTTATAACAGATTTAGATCCTTAGAAAAAATATTTGCAAGATGCATAGGTCCATGTTTTTTGGTATTAAGATAGTATTCATAAATACCAAAATTTCAAGCCACAATACAGCACAGACTATCACCCTAAAAGCCACCTTAGGCCATGAAAATGCCACAAATGGAGGAAAGGTGTCTAAGTAGCTCTGTTAGCGTAGCCACAGTAGTTCTCTGAACTAGTATCTTTGTTTATTAAGAACCGAGTCTCAGACAATATCAAAGTCATCTCCTGTCTATGAAGTTATTGTATTATCTAGTGAGATTCACATTCCTTGCTTTTTTAAAATCTGAAAACCTAAGAAATGTAAGAAGTAAGTCTCTCAGGGGTAATCAACCAGGAGTGCGTGGGCTACCAATGCAGCTCAGTACAAAATCGCAAGCTTCCATAAAGCTTTAAGAATTTCTTCCGTACTATTGTTGTTGCTTGTGTGGTTCTCCGGTGAGAGTTTGGTATGTGGCAATACAACGCCGTGGTGTCAAGCGGTTGTACGCCTCTGTGTGGAACTTGTGATGTGCAGTCATCAAGGGCAGGTTGAAGCCACGTTTCTGCTGTGTGTTAAGTTGTTCCTGTGTATTCTGGCGTTGCACTGCCCTACCATGGAGACAACAATCTATTCTGCTTAGGAGTATTAAATTTAGAGGTCTTTTTTTTCACACCTACATTTCCTTTCCCATCTCAAGCATTATTCGGTGCAAAGTTAAAGCGGCACAAATCACTGGGTGACAACAGACACAAAGGCAGAGACACTCGTGAGCATTCTAAGAAGGGAGAAACAAGCAAGATCCGGCCCCACTGGTCTCCCGGCCCTCAAGGAGGATGAAGCAAGTTACCTGTCTTCCCTTCAGACCCTTCTTCCCACGGATCCCAGGAGTACCCTAGGACACAGAAACGTCAAAAGTTAGGCGCTTGCTGAATGAATGCATTAAAGAACCAGCTCTTTTGATTGCATGTCGACTAGAGAAATATCAGTGCGATGTTCAAAAGAGCTTCAATATATTCATTTAACTTCAGCATATTCATTTAGCAACATATTCAATTCTTTCTCCAAAAAAGCTTCCTAATATCACTCAAGCTCTCAAGTAGAGCCCTTCCCTTCCCTGGTAGTGATAGCTGTTTGTGAGGAGTAGGCATGCCACCAGTAATGGCAAGTCAGACCAACAGGGCCTTCTGACTTTCTACAGCTGAAGCAGGGTGCGTTTCGTCCTCTGTCTTCCCTTCCTTCTCTGTTTGGAGATAAACAAAGTTAATTAGATCCTCGCACTGCCAGTTTCTGATTTTATGTGAAACTAATGTAAAAATAGCAGCAGAGAGGATTCTCTTCCTGCTCTAGGTTATCTTTCATACAGATGCCACCAGCCTTTCAACAGTTTCTGGTCAGGTAAGAAATAGTGGAGTCAAGCACCCAGGCTGTGTACCCAGGACATGGGTGGGCGTGTTCTACACTCTCACTTCCTGCATGTGGTCAAGGATGAGTTACTTTCTCTGTATATGTCTCACTCTCTCAATCAATAATGAGAATAACAACTGTTCTGTGTGGGCATTACAGGAGTTAATTCATATGACGCATTTGTACAGCAGTCTATGGGTGTGTGTGCAGCTGTTTGGCAAGCTGTGTACTATTCCCATCATTATTCTTAAAATTTTCCCATTTCAATCCACTTTGAGTCTGAGTGTCTATTAACTGATACCTCAAACATCCTACTTGATAATATCACCTTGACCCGCAGTCATTTATAAACCCCAGAGAGGAAGAAATTCATGAGGACTAGGCATGGCTACACAGAGACCTATTTTCATATTTTAACAACTAAATTTAAAATCTCTAACCATTTATGTTCATATCACGTTTCTTACAAAAATTCAGGACAATTTATAAAAGTCCAATATTTCTAGTACGTGATTTCTCTTACACTGAACCTAACTCCCAAATGCAAGTTTGTGATCCCCACTGGATCACAAGGAGAGCACATTAGAAATCATATTTGAAGGAAACAACCTCACCCTTTCTCCTTCGGGCCCAAGCTGTCCTGCCTCTCCAGGAGAGCCAATGAAACCCTTGAAGAAAGAAAATCATCTTGAAACTGTTTCGTTTTACTGTGTGATCCATAAAATTCTAAGCAGAAGTGCTTAAAGTGTTATGTACCTTAGTGTTACATTTAAATATGCAAAAATATAAACAACTTCTCCTTGTGTTACTGTTTTTTGTCAAGACATTACACGTAAATCTTTTCATTGATACCAAGGAGTAGAGAGTCTAACTCAAGGCAAGGCAGTAACTGAAAACAACACAGCCCAAGCCTTTCCTTCACTAAAGTTCCAGGGCAGGGAAATGCATAGAGTGTGGGTTATGCCACTAAAATACAAGGCAGATGGCAAGAAACACAGAGGCATGCATTTCAACGAGGGAAGGGGAGAGATCTACAGGACCTAAATCTTGGTAAAGCAGAGGCCTTGCATGCTTAAAGCAGCAATTGCAGCGATGTGGTGTTTGTTGCATGCTCCATTATCATGGTATTTTTGCTTTTTTCCTTGTTGATTAAGGATGACTCATATTTTCCTTTAATGGTTTAGAAGTATAAAGTGATGCCCTGATGTGAGGCGTCCCTTCTTCAGAGACATTTCCTTACGCCTGGCAGTGGTGATGGCTCTTGCGCCATCAAATTATCTCCACGTTAAACTACTGCATGATGCCACAGTGTGCATAGCACATCCTAACACAGCCAAGAGCAAGTGAAGATTGGGAAGCAGATAAGAATGACGAGACCAATGATTTTCCGTGCATCAGAGAGAGAATGTCAAATGCAATTCCTTTCAAACTAAATTTGCAAAACCCCTAACGAGTGTGACAGGTAAGTTCTCTGTATGTTTTCATTCTACACTCTTGCAGGTATGCTTAACAAACTGACAATAAAGAAACAAACAAAGAGCGCTCACTTACTGGGACTCCTTTAGGGCCTGGGCTCCCTTCTGGTCCAGCTAAACCCTGGTGAGAACAAAGGTGCCATCAGGATGGTACAGTGTGTTTGAGGTGCTAACAAGCAGACTGATAAAACTACAAAAAGACTATGAAACTCAGGACTCAGTTTACCTAAAGAAGATCACAAATGTTCAAAGAATTTTGTAATTTCAGAACCCAAAAGGCATCACATGAAATGGATGTATAACTGTATCTTAGTCACCCAAATAAAGTACATTAGCAGGTGTTTTCAGGAACAGCAAGCATTTTTTTCTCTAAATTATTTTTCATTGGGAAATCATCTGTATTCTGTGCAGACACCTCTAACTTACTCTGAGAACAATAGATTGATTCTTAGATTGTTATATGCCCTTTCCTTGAGGATAAGGTTATAAATCTAGATTTCAAATTTTAGTTATTATTTTTAAAAACCATCATGCCATGAAAAGTCTAAGAAGGAAAACCTACTCTATTATTAATTTATGTTAAGTTGGGAAAGAGAGGAAAGGGCATACAGATTTTCATATGGAACTGGATTCAGGTCAGATGAAAGGATTTCATAGTGGCATGTGAACCACTGCCAATTGTCTCCCAAGTTTTTATAAGTGTGTTATTAAAAATAACACTTATTGTGGAGATGCCTTCACACTTATTTCATTTTAGTCAAGTTAGCATGGGACTCATTGCAGATCTTACTTGTCTCTTAGGCACCATAACTTTAAAAGTTCTGTTGTGAAATGTATCAAATGTATTTACAAGCCAGGTTTCAGCATCCAACGAACCAGTCTACAGTACAGTATTTGAGGAATTTTTGCAACTTTGATTTTGATTATTTATCTAAGTAATTCACCACGAAGGAGAACAAACATATCTGTCAATTGAACAATGACTCTAAAATCAGAATATGCAATGCGTATGTGACAAGGGACACGGAAGGAGAAGTGTAAGCGTAGTCACTGCACCTGCCTGCCAGGGTAGCCAGGTGAGCCAATGTTACCAGCCAGTCCTGGGAGTCCCTGAAATAAAAGTAAATAAATAAGACAGATGAAACCCACAGGAGACCCAAAGAAACCCATCTGGTATTTAGAATACCCAAATTTAGAAGAAAAAACTTCTCATGACATTACTAAGTATAGCATGATGTGTATCATACTGAAGCCATTATCTGAAGGAAATTAGGCCAATTTTTTTTAAATAAAAATGAAAAACCATTAAAGGAAGGCCATAAGTGAGACACTGATGACTGTAATGCTTGTGGGAGGAACAAGTTTGACGCTGTTTATCTAAATAAGAAAATCATTTCCATGGAAAAGCGAACACATGTCTTAATAGTCTCTTCATCTTCGCCATTCTACACCACTCCTTAATGTTTAGGCACCGACCCCAGGAGCCCAAGAGGATTAGTAACTTCAAAGCCAACTTCTCATGTCTTTCTAAGCTGGACATAACATCACAGAGAGTCTGACTGAGCAAACAGATCTTGACTGATAAAACCTTTGGAGGATGCTAGGACTGAATGTTCATGTCTTCCTTCAAGTTCACCCGTTGAAATCCTAAGCCCAACACTCAGGCCCAGTGGCTTAATGGTGAGGGCCTTTGGTGTAGCTACGTCAAATGGGTGGAGTCCTGACGAGTACGATTGACGTTCTTATAGGAAGCAATCAAAAGCTTGTAGCCCTGTTTGCCCCATGCCAGGATATAAGGCAGCTGCTTGCTGCCCTGAACACAGCCCTCTTCAGAGTCCATCCAATCTGGCCTATTGATGTGAGATCTCAGCCTCTAGGATTGGGGAAGACAAAGCTTTGTTGTCTATAAATCACCCAGTGTGTGGAATTTTGTCATAGCAGCCCACACTGATTTAGACATGCAGTGAGTTCCCACACTTTGTATTCTTGGCTTGAGACAAATTTTGCTCAAAGAAAACTGACAGACATTCAAAAGACATCAGAAAGGAAATCTGTTGCAGACTGGCTGAAAAAAAATAGTAAAAGCTTATTCTTTTCGTATTGTCTTTCACTGATGTTTTGAAGATTGTATTGAATTATCTAGGTGTTCATGTGTGTGAGTGAGCATTTTGCCTGCACATATGTCTAACACACATGCATGCAGTGTCCATGGAAGGCGGAAGAGGACAGCTGATGTCCTGGAACTGGAGTTACAGTTGGTTGTGAGCCAACTTGTGGATGCTAGAGCTAAACCCTTGTCCTCTGAATCGCTGAGCCACCTCTCCAGACACACGTTGATGTTTTATTCATTCATGTCTGTTTATCCTGAGTTTACGTGTCTCAAACAATTCTTACATGAAGGACACACCAAAAGAACGCGTGCCATACTGCCTTTTTCTTACCATCATGTGATAACAACAGAGTAGTGGTAGGCGTTCTAGGTTCCTTGTGACATAGAACTCATTTCCATCTTATTGACCATAAAGAGATAACAGGCTGCATTTTGTCCCCCACCTTCTGTGGCACACAGAAGCATCCACTCCTAAATACTGAAACCTCAGGACTCCTCCAATATTTGAAGATCAAGAGAAAGGTCAGACCCCGGGTAAAGCAAACTGAGGACACAATTTAGTTTTTCTCTCAATTTTTTCTCAGAATGCTTTTCTCAATTTTGTTCTCTTGTTTCTCGTCATGTCCCATTTGTGCAAGAGTTATTTTTTGTTAGGAGTGCTCTCTGTAGCAAGTATTTTACACAGACTTTACATCTTATTTTCCATTTTACATCTGAAGAAAGGAAGATATATAGAAGTAAGTAATGCTGGTAGCTAGTTTAATAAATTATGATAAATACTGACCTTCTGGGGCTTACACAGTAAAAATTTCTTATCTACACGAGAAGAATGTCTAACACAATTATATATATGTATATATATAATATTACTCTATTAATATACACTACATAGGATATCTTATTCCTGTCATGTTTACTGAGTGTGTTCCAGGCACTAAGTACTGATAAAGTGCTGATATATATCATCTTGTTCAACCTGTTCAAAAATCCTATAAAGCAGATATTATTGTTCCTGTGTTATAGATGTGAGAAGAGGCAATGACACTTTCGAGCCACCAGTAGTATATAATATGGCTAGCAATGTGACAGCAGGATTTAAATCAATGATTCTAATTCCAGAGACTGCCATTCAAGGTGGCTCTCTAGTGTGAGTCTGATGTGTAGGTAACACTAGCATAAGTTGTCCTAATTGTGAGCTTCACTTTGGTGTATTCCCTAATGCTTGTCTGATTCCAAAACACACAGACCTAAGTCGAGAGAGTCATGAGGCTTTGTATTTGGATATGAGGATGGGAAGGAATGAGACACACTTAACAGGCAGTTTTTATTTATAGGTCATTGTCTCTCTGACTAATGCCAACCGCCATCCCTTTCTCATTCCATTCCTAGCTAGATTAAGTCAACTGAACTCAATGTTTCAAAGCAAATCTGCAATGGAACATGAGGGCAATCTGATTCTGAATGGGTTTCTAACACAGCCCAGCTGCATAGAGGAAACAGGAGAATTCCATTCATGTCTCAGCTACAGCAGACAAGCATCATACTGTGGTCACATGACAAGCACAGAAACACAAGGCACCATGACTGAGTTCACTCTGCACTTGCAAATGTGTTTTCAAAAGAGTATTCTAATTGAGCAATTAGCATCAGGAAATAAGGAAGCCTGCTCCAGCCTAGCTTCTCATACAAGGAACATCAAAATACCTGTGCTTAGCTGGGTGATTTCATTCAGAATTGCAGTAATATCTCTATAGGTCTTTTCTACACACTCTCAGTTTTCTCATTTGCAAAACGGAATAATAGCACCTGTGTCATGTGATGGCCGTGTGGAGGAAATAGACAGCTGTAACCCAAATGCTGCTGATGCTGAGCGCTTGATTCGTTAGCACAAGAAACATTAGGTAAGTCTCTGTCATAGTACTGTTCGGCAAAACACACAGGCTCAGCCAGCTCTTATGACTAGAATGCATGAAAATGAGATAATTGTGTTTTCAAATGTTTGCTGGCCAATTTGCTGACAAATTTCCCAGAGGTAAATCTCAGAATCACAGTCATACTCCAAGTGAAATAAATGAATTGGTTTTTGGCCAGCTGTTTTCACAGTTGGAAAGCAAGAGTATTTTCAGTTGTTCCTTGGGGCCACTACCAATTTTGACTCTTCTCTTTCTAGTCTTTATGAAGGGTATGTGTAAGTGCGTGTGGATGTGTGTGTGTGTGTGTGTGTGTGTGAGTGTGTACACACAGAGGCCGAAGGCCAACCTTGGGTGCCATTCCTCAGGAACCCTCTGCCTTATTTTCTGTTACAGGGTCTTTCATTCAGAGCCACGTAGGCTGGTCTCCGAGGCAGTGAGACCCAGGGAGCCTCTGTCCCTTTTATCTGCCTGCTGGGAATCAAACTCATGTCTTCGTGCTTGCATGGCAAGTACTTTATGATGTGACCTCTCTGGTCCACATTTTCCAGTCTTTAAAACCGAATTCGGACTTCCCAGTTAGTAACGATATCACCCGTCAGAGCAATAACACGTAAATTAACAGAACTAGATGACCAAGCAGTTGAGAGGACTCATCAGTACCGTCAGTGCCGAGTTGTCATTGACCCCTGATGTACTGGGCTCCTTCACTGGAATCTGCGTACCTCTGCCAAAGCCACAATCCAGGCATCTTCTCCCAAGGGCTGATTCCTACCACCCTTCTCACACTTTCCCCTGTAACTGCTCACAAGCCTTCCAGCACTTGTCTGAGCTTCAGGAAGCCAAGCCTGCACCTGCTACTGATATACACACTACTTTCCTGGCTATGGGTGGTAATTAGTAATCTCGAAAAACTGCAAATGCTGTCCTGCTTAATATGAATCAAAGAGAAATCTGGCTTTGTTTCTTCATTTGTGTGTTTCCTTCAGAGACTAGTCATCACTTTTCATCCTGGAGTTCTATTCTGGGCTTCCTCGGCCTTTGCTGAATCACCCATGACGGCACCCACTATCTTAGTCAGGTTCTAATCCCTGCCCCTCCCTGTCTGTGATTATATTTTATCTACAGGGCAATGTCGTTATCTTCTTGTGGGAGAGAAAGGTAATAGCATGATCAAAACCCGAACGGTTGCAAAAGTGTTTTGACTTAAGTAGCACATGTGTGTGTATCCACAGTTACGGGTAACGATGTGTGGTCCATTCTAGCACCAAATCTGATTAGGATCTGTGGACCAACCAGACCCTAAAATTGAATGAAAGGACAGGTGTTTACGGATATTTATATTTTCTTGGAAAGGGTCTAAGACAGTTTCAAAATTCTCAAATGGACTTGTGAATCAGAGGTTTAGGAATCACTGCTCTGAAAACAACAGGAAAAGAAAAATGAACAGCATTAAAGCATTGCTAGTTCAGAATCTATAGATAATTAATTAAAGGTTTTAACTTTGCTGTAAATAGAATGAAAGAAAGTAACTGCTAGGAAAAATAAAAAAGGCAAGAGAAAAGTGATCCCTCCAGAGTGTTCCTTTATGTCCATCTTTGTCCCCCCAGAAGATAAGAAAGCACTTACTTGTTCCCCACGGAGCCCAGGGAGCCCTGGATGTCCTTTGGGACCCTACAGGAAGCAAGTAAAGACGTGTCATGGAGCATCAGCTTACACCGGGTGGCCAAGTGACTAAACAGAGGTCCTAAAACACTGGGGAGCTTTGTTCCTTTGCTTATTTGCTCTGTTTTTTTATCTGAGTAAAACATATTTTATTATGACCAGCCAAAAGATGCAGGCTATATCAACCTGAAATAGGGAAAATATAGAAATTTAACTGAAGAAAAAATTATATGAACAGAAGTTTATCAAATTCACAAATACTTAGAGAAAGGGAAAGTCATTTAACAGAAATTTATGAGCTGAATCATGTTTTCCAACAAAATAAACAAAATAATACAAGCAGTATATTTTGGACAAGAGTTTACACTTTACAATAAGGAATACCTGTTTAAGTTAGGAATAAGTGATGTATAATTGCAAATAAGTGTTAAATTTTCTAATATTTTTATATACATCAAGGTGAATACAATCACATAAAGTTTTATTTAGTATGGTACAGATGCCATAGTATGCTTTTCAATTGTATAAACATGTCCTGACAAGATTTCTGTTCTCCATATTAAGAAGAATGTGATATTTGACTAACATGGTGTACTTTCTAAACAACTTAATGGAAGACGAAGAAAGTTTGTATTTTTTGTTCTTTATTTCTACTGCAGCAGATTTTTCTGTGGTAAAATGCTGCTGGAAACATTACTGTTAATATTTTCAGTTTATTTTTTCCTAATATATCAGAGATGTACTTTTATATGTTTTTTCTTTCATAGGTAAAATATAAAACAAAATAGAAAATACAGCCTCAAACAAAGTTAGTTATGAAGGTTCCTCCTTTGATATCCTTTTCACCCACTGCATAAGAAACACTAATTTTCAACACTTGCTACACTGCCTTTAAGAAAAGCTTCCATGCTCTCACAGAGTACATTTTCTTTCTTTTTTAAATTAATTTTATTTAAATTAAAAACTATCTTATTTTAGATACCAATCCCAGCTCCCTCTCCCTCCTGTCCTCCCATTCTCCCCGCCAACCCCCATCCCATCTCCATCCCAACCCCCATTCACACCTCATGGAGGGTGAGGCCTCCCATGGGGGATCATCAAAGTCTGTCACAGCATTTGAGGTAGGTGCTGGGAACTGAACTCAGGACCTCTGGAAGAACATCTGGTGCTCTTAACCACTGAGCCATCTCTCCAGTTCCAATTTGTTCTGTTTTTGTTTAAATTTTATTTTCCAGTTTAAATTTAGATAAGAAATGAGGTTGCTTCACAAGTCAGTTCCAGGTCCCTCTTCCATTCCCTCCCCTCCTCTCGTGCCCTCCCCCAACTCCCCCCCCCCGTTATCCCCTCATTCCCCCAGGGAGGGTGAGGCCCTCCATGGGGGTGTCCATAGTCTGTCATTTCATATAGGGCAGGGCCTAGACCCTTCCCCAAGAGTTCAGGGTGAGAGTGCACCTCACATTGTCCTATGGGAGTCCAAAGTCCGTGTGTATACTTGGGATGGGTACTGATCTGCTGCCCAAGGCTCAATAGATTACCTAGGCCTCCTCACTGATACCCAGATTCAGGGGGTCTTGATCAGTCCCATGCTGGATTCCCAGGCTGATGCCTGGGATTCAAGAGTTAACCTTTGTCTAGTCAGCTGTTTCTGGGGGTTAAACCAGCCCAGTCTTAATCCCTTTGATCATCAGTCCTCCCTCTCTGTTACTGGCTTTCTTGAGTTCAGCTCAGTACTTAACCAAGGGAGTCTGCCTCTTCTTCGATCAGCCACTAAATGAAGTTTCTGTTTCCCAGACTCTCTGGCCATAGGATTGTAGGCTGGCACTCCCCAGATCTATGTCTAAAATCCATATATGAGAGAGTACATGCCATGTTTCTCTTTTTGTGACTGGGTTACCTCACTCAGGATGGTTTCTTCTAGTGTCATCCATTTGCCTGCGAATCTCATGATTCCATTATTTTTTTCTGCTGAATAGTACTCCATTGTGTAAATGTACCACATTTTCTCTGTCCATTGTGTAGATGTATTTTTAACGCTGTACATTGCAACCCGGAGCTGCATACATGGCAGGAAACAAGCACTCCACCACGGAGCCATATGCCCACCTCTGATTAGCTTGTTGTTGCTACTCGTTCCCTAATCAATACAATAGTCTCCCGATTTATTACTAAATTTGAGTACGAGTTTAATTTCTATTTTAAAAAATACCTAATTCTTAAAATAACTGTTATAAAAGGCTCCGATCTAGCACAGAATCTGTTAAATTTACTGAGGCATTTACAAAGTTGTGTTTAGCTCAGTCACATCAAGACAACATTCCTTCAGACATAATCTGTTTACAATTACTGAAAAGTTGGACAACATCCAGTTCTGTCTCTAATCCAGTCACCATTGCAAGACATGAATGAACTAATGAAAGAGGCTCATCAGAACGGTCCTATAAAGTCATCTGGGAAATCAACTATACAAGTCTTTTCCAGGTAAGAGAACCAATGAACAAATATTAACCTCTCTCATTAGCACCCTAAGTTATAAAATAGATAGCATAATTTTTTCCACTAGAAAAATCTGCAACAGAATTAAAGAAGTTCAAATAAAGAACAAGACAGAAAGAAACTCTGGGGCTTATTATACAGTTAGAATCAAATGTCAGTGAATCAATATCTCATTTCCAGAGACTCTGTTCACATAAAAGAACAAGAAAATTTCCTTTTCCTTTCTGTCGGGTGTGTGCATGCGTGGGTGTGCACATGTCCATGCATGTCCATGTTTGTTTGTATGTAAATGCGCATGTGTGTGAGGGGACCACGGGTTGATGCTTGCTTCTTTCTCAAGCTCTCTCCACCTTGTTTCTGGAGACAGGGTCTCTCCCTGAACCTGGAGCTTACTGATTCAGCTAGACTTGTGGCCAGCAAGTTCTAGGAACCCTCCTGCCTCTGCCTGAGCAGAGCTGGAGCGCGGAAGAGCAGCCTCACGCCCCATTGCGCCAGGGATCTCAACTCGGGCTCTCACAGAGTAGGCGGTAAGAACTCAGACATGGCAGGTGTACTCTGGGGTGAGGTGGGACTCCCAGGGAGAGCCTGGGAGAGCGGGATCGAGAACTCAGGAGACAGGGCAGGAAGCGCTCTTCCACCACCACCTTTCTGAGTAAGTATGCTCCCATTCGCTCTTTTTTCAGCCCTGTGAGCTCGAGTCCAGGGCTCCATGCTTTGTGCTTCTCTCTGGCATTTCCTTTCTCCCTCACCCACAGAGACACAGCACGGAGCATCGGTCTAAGCTCTCAGGACTCCCTTCCCTGAAGCACACTGAAAGGCAGACTAATAATGGCATCTTCTGCATGCCGCCGCCCCGCCCCCAGCCCCTTTCGGGGTTCTTCAGTCAGAGGGCCCCCCAAACAGCAGGGCCAGCCAGCAGTCTTGCTCCCCACCAGCTCATCCCCTTCCCGCTGCTGTCACCAGAGTTGGCATTTGACCCAAGTGAGGGCTATCCCAAACCGGGCCTTTAGCCCACGAGGTCACTTGGAATGAGGAATTTTTGTCTAAATAAAGATTAGCTGCTCCGCTTATACTTTCTTTTCTGTTAATACAAAACAAGAATGCTGAAATGTTCAGGTACTCCCTAGTGGGGACTGTGAGATGCCATAAGGACACGAAAACAGGAAAAATTGAGAGTAAATGGATATGATGTTGAGAAAAGAAGTGGTCAGAGGAGAAGAAAGGCAGTTTTAAAATTGTATTGAAGGAAAGAGGGAGAGACGGGAAAAGGGAGATGGAGAGAAGGGTGAAGGGAGAGAGAGGGAGGGAGGGAAGGGGGAAGAGAGAGAGAGAGAGAGAGAGAGAGAGAGAGAGAGAGAGAGAGAGAGAGAGAGAGAGAGAGCAGGAATGTACATTACATACACACAAATGTGCCCCTAAGATATCCAGAGCTGCTTGGCATTCAACTGTCTCTACAAGGTCATCATATTACAGGACTTAAGCTTAGATTCTGCGTGATCCCTGTTTCCCTCACTGCTACAGAGGGGATTGAAACGCTGACCTCCTTGCGACAGCCTATGGCACCATCCTTTGCAATCAAACGCATATAAGTGAAACAAGATGTTTTCTGTGTCTGTTTTCAGGGTTACTAATATGAACAGAGTAAGCACAGTGGGTTCTGGCTCTAACCTTTGCAGTGACTAGTCATATCACGAGACCCAGCATCATTCTATGTAAAATGATAGCATTGAATTGGGTAATTGCTAAATTGCAGTTGCTAGAGTTCTGTGAGCATAAGAATCTGTCAGAAAGGACTCTGTTACTTTTGTAAAAATTTAGCAGACATATGTATGAAAAGCAGATCTGAGATTCACTGTAGGTCTGAGGATGAATTCGAAACGGATGTACCTAGAAGCAAGCCCAACCTCAGGCTTCCGAGGTTGGTTCCTAACTCGATCAGAAGCACAGACATTTTGAATATGAGATGTCCCCACAGCTCTCAGGTTAGGCCTCAGATGGTGGCACTATTTGGGGTGCTCTGGAGTTGGACTTGGGGCCGAGGGGAGGAAGTAGGTGTCTTTATGATTACATCAGGCCCCCAATCTGTTCCAATCTCTGCTTCCAGGCCACAGGAAGTGAAGAACGTCCCTTTCCACATGCTGCTGACCACGGCGCCCACCAACATGGGCTCACAAACAGCTTCACACCACGTCCGCCATCACGGGCGCACAGTGGGCTCAAGAACCGTGGTTGGAAGAATGGGAAGCTGTGAGCAAAAATGAATCATTCCTTCCCTTACGCTGCTCACCGGAAGGAGGACAGCGGAATGCAAGAGGGTGTGTCCAGATGAAAGATGTTTGTAAATGAGGCCAGCGTGGAGTTAGAGAAGATGTATGGGCCGCTTCAGGAGCTTAAACTTAACCTAGGCTCCCTTTCCATGCGCTGAGGGTGGTATCTCAGTGCCTCCGTGGGTATTCGCTAAGTGAAGGAGTGGACAAAGTGATGAAAAGATGGATGGAAAATTGCTTGGGTGACATGGAGATTCCCATTTTGAGTATTTTATTTGACTAGAGTAAACATCAAAAGGTCAGAACTGACAACATATGATTTTTTAAATGAATACACTGGCAAGAATTGAGCAAAAGCATTCCTTAAGGAACTTGGTCAATAAGAAAATTTAATATCTCTATTTCAAAACAGACTAAAACGTATTAATAAAGAATCATCTTAAATGTGTTATGATATAACATTTTAGTAGCAGAAATTCCAATCATAAATAGGGCTTAGGATTTCTGTTTTACATAGAGATTTTAATTTTAGACGTATTTACTTGTATTGAATCTGTCTGTGTGTTTGTGTGTGCACATGCATGCACATGCATGCACACATGTGCTATGGCATGTGTATGGAGATCAGAGGACAACTTGCAGGGGCCACTTTTCTCCTTCTATCACCTAAGTCCCAGGCATGGAACTCAGGCTGTCAGGCTTGGTGGGTAGTGACTCTACCCACTGAACCACCTGGCCAGACCAAGACTTTCATTTTTAATACTTCATTAAACAATAACTTGACCATACAATAGCCTATTGAATGAAAAAAAAAACCAAACTACTGAACTAAGCACAACAATGCCCAGTGATGGACGGCAGCTAATTCTGAGGATACAGATATAATTGTAGAAGCTGAATACTTCAAGCCAAATGAATATATTGCCAATGCCGAAATGTCAACAACCTAAGACAGACTGAAGGAAATTTATTTTCAAAGCCCTCCAACCGACAAAGTTTTGGCCACCCCTAGCTTGCACCGTAGTGAGTTCAGAACTGAGTAGCCTTGCTCTCCAGGCCCCTGCTTGGAGGAGGAGCAGACACAGAGACAGGGGCAGTGACACGGGTTGTAAGCAGTGGCTTCGGGTTTGGATGTTAGGACCACATCGGGCTGGGAATCAAGCCAAGGTAGAACAGCTCTGCAGACTTTTATAGGGAGGAGGGGCCAGTCAGAAATGGTGTAGAGTTGGCGATGGAGGGGTCAGAAATCTTCACATCGGCTTCTCAGGCCCTGACTTCTCGCCAAGATAGATTATTTTATTAGTTTCCCCCAACATTCAATGTAGATTCTTTTATTAGTCCCCCCGACATTCAACGTAGCTCCAGCTCCTCAGTGCCACCTTTGTTTTACATAGCTTTTGAGGGACCGGAAAAATCACAGTGGACTCCAAGGAAGCAGTTTCTTCCTTTCCTATTTCATGCAGGCGTTTGCTGTATCTTTTGCTATGGACATTTACAAATAACTGAAGCGATTCTGATTCTAGTCTAATGCAACAGGCGTTCACGTTGGCTTATAACTATTGTTTAAGACACACTAATGCTTTTTGATAGTAAAAAATGGTTTTGAACACTTGCATATTTCATAGTTAACTGCTTGCATCCCTCATCCTCTGGAACCCAGGGAAACGTTTTCATTTGGTCACATTGCTGATGCTCTTACAAAGCAAACTAGGCAGCTTCCAATTTTAATATAGCAGCTGATGGGCTATTTATAAAGCAATTTAAAAAGCTATCTTGCATCCAGCTTGGACTGACAACCTTTGTCTTCTGTCCAACTCAGCATGCATTCTGGATTCAATTTATCTGCTGTTTTGGCCAAAAAATTAGTAAGTGGGAATTGAAAATATACTTTAGCTCCTAGGAAAATAAGAGTTACAAGATGGTTAAGCAGAAGCAATGTAACAGAGGAGTCAATGGAGGGGACAGATTGTTGGATAGAGATGTTGGTACTATTTTTAAAATAGAAGTAAGTAAGGCTGAAGGGAGAAAGAATGAATTAACATAATTCTGTTGGAGAGTAAAAAAAATGATTTCAGCTGCCTCACATTGCTATTTCTATCTCAATAGTACTTAGAATTGTCAAAACTTTCCACATTAATCTTGATTTATCTCAGCAGTTTTTGTGAGTTTCCTTGCAGTCATTCTAGTTTTTAATATCACTTAAGTCTGAGTTTGGTTTAGAGGAGGAGAATTTTAATATTTTCTTCTCCTTTCCAGAGAAAGAGAGCAGTGAAGTCATGGCATCTGTTGCCCCAAACTCTCATGAAAATCAACAGCATACAGCCTTTTTCATACAGGATGGAGACAGTTAGAAATATGGCAGACTGGAACTTTCATAAATATTGACTTAAATAATGAATTAGCACACAGGAAATATTGTGACAAATTACCAAGAACACAGTCACACTTGTGTCAAACAGGCTAGGACTGAGTCCAAGGTCATCAGTGAATAGTTGTGTGGCTTTGGGTGAATTATTTAGCCCACAAACACTTCAGTTAATTTATGTATGGTTTATTTAGCATTATATACACCCCAGAGTTGTTTTTAAAAAGTGTTCAGCAGACTAGAACATTTCAAATAATGGAATAGTTACTGCTGACATTAGCAGTGTTACCAAAGTAATCCATAAAATGGCTCAGCCGACAGAAGGATGAAATTAGTTCCTGTCAGTCAAAAGCTGAGCACCTTATTATGTCTCACCATGAACATGCGCGTAGTTCAAAACCCACAGGTTCAGTCTCCATGGATTTTCTATCTTGATCCTGCTGTAAATCTTTGTGATGCTGAGCAATATTCTCAGCCACTCCTAACTTTCCCCCCTTAGAGAAACTTATTGACTTGAGCTTAGGGGTTTATCTACCACTCTGGGGCAGACTCTAAGAAAGAAGGAACAGGTGTGTGGAAGATACTGCTAACACAAGCGTCCATTTTAGATTATTCTAGCACAGGTCCTATTTGTAGGAACCAACTCTGTGAATTAAATTGTACCAAAAAATTAAATTGAACTGAATTAAGGAGTTCAACGTTAGAAAGACCATTATTTACCTGAACATTCTACCAAACAGCGTCTGCCTTTAGCCTTCCTTACATACAGGAGGAGTCCGTTAAGTACACCAAACTCATTTTGAATATAGATGATGTATTCGCACAAAATGCACACAGACAAACAGTCAGATGGGAACTTGCTTCAGTCCAGCTAAGTAAAGAACTAGTTTGCATTTGGATTAGATAGTTATGTCCTTTGCATTCTTCACATTACCTAGTTTTCAAACATCTGTGCTCAGCTGCCATTAATGGGCGCAATTAGAACAAGAAGGAAACATTTTCAGAAACACAACATTATCATCTTGAATTTTCAAAACTTTTCTGAGCTATTGTCAAATCTCACTAGCCTTGGAGAGTCATTTATCAAGGGGCTGCTTACAATGACCGAACTGGGCGAAAAGGAAGTCAAGTGACTTGCTATGCACACGTGACCAAAGCTCTCGACTAGCTGTCCACAATACTCACGCCCATGCAACTGTCACAACACGGAAATGACCTTCCTGTACTGGAGGTGTGGTCTCAGCCAGTGGAGGTATCTGGGGAGGTGCTAGGAGTTTTAGGATGAGGGACTTAACTGGAAGAAGCAGGTCATTGGGATGGGTTCTTGGACCCATCTTGTCCATTGCTTCTCTCAACCTCTGATGCCTGGCTTCCGTTAGTCACCTCGCCCCTCTCCTCTGATGCTCTGCCTCACTATAGGGGAAGAAGAGCAGAACCAGCTGCCCAAGCACTGAAATCTGTCAACTGTGAGACAAACTAAATGCTTCCTCCTTTTTAAACTGGTTCTCTCAGGTATGTGTCACAGCAACAGAAAGTCTAACCAGCAGACTGCTCTTCAGGCTTAGTTACTGACACAACATTGGAAGTCATTACTTTCTCGTAAGTGGGAATTCTTAAAAAAAATCCAGGTGTATTACAGATAGGCATCTCACACGGGCAAGATGTTATAAGAAGATGGAAGAGACTCAGAACTAAGATGCCAGGTTAATATGCCTTCAAAGAGGGAGGATAAGACGAGATCAGGCGCTTTCAGAGTACCGGACTAGGGGGAGCTCTTGAACCCCAGACTGATGGCTGACAGGCCAACAGGGTACTGATCCAGACTCCATGAATGTAGTGTCAGTGAGAAGGCCTCAGAAATCTCTGGGGCCTTGGGTAGCAGATCAGTGTTCACCATGGCATAGGAATGAACTTTGGGAGCCCATTCCACATGGAGGGATGCTCTCTCAGCCTGGACACATGGAGAAGGGCCTAGGTCCTGCCCTGGATGAAATGACAGACTCTGGAGATCCCCCCAAGGAGGGCCTCACCCTCCCTGGGAAATGATGTGGGGATTGGGTGGGGGGCTGGAGAGGAGCTGGTGGAGGGACAAGGGAGGAGGGGTGGGAGAGGGAGCTGGGATTGACGTGTGAAGCATTCATGTTTCTAATTTAAATAAAAACACACATTGAGGGGGAAAAAAGAGGGAGGATGTCGGTACCCTGTCTACGACGTTCACTTTCTCCACAAGAATTTGCTCTCCATTACTAAACTCAAGGGCCTTTTATTATTCCCCAAATCTCATCTTTAATGGATGCTAAGTTTCTGGATTATCCTGGCTAAACCTTCTGATGAATTTGCTTCTGCTGAGCAAAGAGATGTGAGGTGTCAGTGTAAGGCTCAACTTCAAAATGGAATTGCAGCCATAGAAACATTCTGAGATCCACCCAGCATTTAGTTACGCCAGAGAAAAACTCCTAAACTCCTCTTACCTTTTGTCCCTGCAGACCAGGAGAGCCCACCGATCCAAAAGCACCATGGTCACCCTGTAAACGAAACACAGAGGTTTAATCTATTTAATCTTAAATAGATCCTGATAATCTGGTCTAGGTTCCATCTCCCTCTTTCTCAGCCCTTCCCAGCATCCTCTCTGACCTTTCTAGCACTCCTCTGCCACCGCAAGGGTTCCTAACCTCTTCCATTGCTGACCACCTGACGTCTGTCCACTTACATGCCTTTATTCCTTGCTCTATGTTGTTCTAGTCTCTAGAAATGCCTTCGCCAATTTTACTAACAGCTTACAGCACCCAAAGGAGTTTCCTTAAACGTTCCACAGGGCTGCACTAGGCAGTCCCCCTTTTTGGTGGAGCTCTGGGATGTGGTGAGACTCTCAGGAAGACTTCAAGTGCGCAGAGGGAGGATCATCACTCCTGATTCTGCAGCCTCACTGACACCTGTCCCTGCGAAGCGCCCTCAGCTCAGAGAAAACTAAACTCTGTGGGTAAGGGCTGCTGAGGACCTATCCTGAGGAATAAAGGAGCAAGATGTTTTTGTTAGCTTTTCATTTGATCAACAAATCTGTTGCAGTGTAAAGAAGAATCACATTTAATACAAATACAGTTTCTTTCCTTTCCTTTTTTTTTTTTTTTTGAGTTTTCAAGACAGGGCTTTTCTTTGTAGCTTTGGAGCCTGTCCTGGCACTTGCTCTGTAGACCAGGCTGGCCTCAAACTCACTGAGATCTGCCTGCCTTTGCCTCCTGAGTGCTGGGATTAAAGGTGTGTGTCATCAATGCCTGGCACAAATAACGGTTTCTAAGAGACTAGAGTTAATTTTTTATTTTATAATTTTAGAAGCACACACACCATCCTCTCTGTTCCCCCAGCAGGGTTGGTGATGCAGTGCTCTGGAAATTTAGGTACAGGGATTACAAGTTCACAGTGTACCTGGGCTACCGAGAGAGTTAAAGGCAACGCTGGGCAATTTAATGAAATGCTACCCCCTAAACATAACACAGGGGATGAAGAGGCCCAGGATGATAGTCAGTGGGTAAAGTGCTTTCTGCACATGCGTGAGCATCCGATTTAAAAGCTCTAGAGCTGAAGCTGGACGCCATGGGTCACACTGCAGTCCCAGGGCTCCTCTGGCAAGACTCAGGCAGATGTAGAAGAATCCCTGAAAGCTTGTGGCTCAGCTAGCCAGGTTTATGCAGTGGAGAACAACAAAGAAACCTGTCTTCAACACAGTGGAAGGCAAAAACCCAACAGTCAAGGTTGTCTGATTTCTACACATATGCTGTGGCTTGTGAAGGCTCCCTACACACACGCACACACACACACACACACACACACACACCATATACACTCCCATACGTGATACACACACACCATATACATACACACATTATATATACATACACGCACACACATACACACACAGTATACACACACACTACATACATACCCACACATGATACACACACACACAGACACACACGCACACTCACCATACACATGCCCACATATGATATACACACACACACCATACACATACCCATACATGATACACACATACACCATATACATATACACATTTTACATATATATATATATATATATATACACACGGTATACACACACACACACCACATACATACCCACACATGATACTCACACACATATACCATATACATACCCACACATGATACACACACACACACACACACTCTCACGGTATACACACACACCACATACATACCCACACATGATACACACACACATGGTATACACACACACCACATACATACCCACATGATATATACACACACATACACACACACCACATACATACCCACACATGATATACACACACACACTGAGAGGAGAGCGCTGGAGATGTAGATCAGAGCATAGCACTTGTCTGTCATGCTTAAGGCCTGGTCAGCCCTAGCACTGACAAGGACAAAGGACAGGAAAATGCATCTGTCATTTTTAAATTTTGGGTTTCACTTACAGCTCAGTGGCAGAGTGATATTAATTTTACATGTAACCGCATTTCTTATATACAATATTATCCATGGTTAGTACATAAATAAGTCAAAAGTGAAAACACTTCAAGTGAAAACATCATTTAAGTTTCTACTCCCATACTGAGACACCCTATATTTTGTACAAAAAAGAAATCACAGAGGAAGATAAAACCAAGCGTTTGATATGAATGCTTTGTTTAATCTGTAGCCTCTATTTTGAAGTCACCAAACAGAGTTGACCTCTAATTCCAACATTTAATAAGAGAGTGAACATGCTATATTTAGGTATTTTGAAGGCATTTGTATTTCTCAGATCACCTAGTATTTTTCCTCCTAATGACGACCACATCAATGAACATATTATCTTTCTGAAAATAGACTTGGATTCCCTTTCTGTGTTTTGTAGAGTCTCTAAACTCAGTTTTACAACAGAAAGAAAACTACTAAAAGTTTAAGTATTTTTAAAGGATGTCTGATGAGGTTTTAAGTTTGCAAAAGTTTCTGTAAGCCAATTACAAGATCAGATTTCAACCCAGCAGTCATTGGTATTATTGGGGGATTTTTAACTTGTGATTATGTAACAATAAACAAAACCATCTTATAGTTGTGTCACAACTACCAAGAACTTTCCAAATGTCTTCTTACAGACTTCAAACAAACACAGCAACAAAATGTGATGGAACTCAGCCTCAGGATCCCGAGGCAGAGGGTCATGAGCTCCACAAGCCTAGGTTGTTTAGAGAGATCTCATCTCAAACGAAGAAACCAACAAAACACATGCGTAAAGTCAAGGGGGTGAGGAAGGAGATTAACCAAAATGAAGAGTGCACAAAAAACTATCTTGTAACCCAATTTAAAAATGAGGAAGAGATTGAAGAAAGATACCCGGCATGGATAGAGAATGCTGCTCTCCTGGAAGGAGTGCTCACTAAATTAAACTGGTGTGAGACCTCTGTAGGAGTGGTGGGTCAGGGATGCCCCCAAACAATATGGGCTTTTGTCTACCTTTTGTCTTCCCCCCCCCCCCGCAGCAGAGGGTAAGACATTATAGCTGAAGACACTACACACCTTGGCTGCAAGATATAAAAGAAACAAGCTGTAGCCAAGCTGGAAACTTGCTCCCTGGTGGATTTATCATGCCAGGATGCTGGATTCAGGCAGCTGGGGGTGAGACGGCATCAACAGTCTTACAAGTGGACCCTATGAACCGCACACCCGTCCTGCCAGGGAACAGCAGTGGATGCGGATTCGTGGATGCCCAAAGGATGGACGGCAACTGTAGACCCACATTTACCCTCCAAAGCTCAGGGAGCACTGCAGAAGAGAGGATGGGAAGAACCTGAGAGCCAGGAGACAGGGAAAGGCTGTGAAAAGCCACCTTGTAGGTCTAAAACATCCATCACCGAGGCTCAGCAGCAGGGTTACTTAACTGGTCCTGTCAACAATCAGTCAGAGATGGGGGAGGGGCTCACTGGACCCTACATCTTACTCCTGAAATACTTTACATTGGTCGATTCTGGGAGCTGGGCAGTCATCGTCTTTAGCTGTGCACTGAATGCTGAGCCCCCAGGGCTCCAGAGAATCATAAAGATGCCGTGGTTAAACACAGTAGGTCACAAACACAGCAGAGTAGGAGAAAGAGATTTGTGGGAAGAAGTTGGGTAGACAAGGGTAGGGAGGAGTTAAGTCATGGTGGGTGATAAGAGAGATCGGAATGCATTATACACATTATGAAATCATCAGATAGCAAATTTAAGTAATAAAATAATTAATAAAGAACATTGTTAATTCCATAATATCAAAGCAAAATAAAAGAAAATAATCTTTTTTAACCTATTCTTACTGAAAATACATCCTCCCAATTAGGGGTTTGTTGCTATCTTTCATTTGAATCATTAGCTTTTACCCACAGATTTCAGAATATCATGATGACTTGAAAGACACCGTGGCTTAAAAGTTAGAAAGCTTAGGTCTATCATTAATTCTGCCAGTTACTACCTTTGAGTAATGGACCTAAAGTCTCTCTGCTCTGGTCTTTACAACTAGAAGATACGGCATGAAAACTGCCTCTCAGCAGCTAGTCAGCCTTTTATACCATGAAAAGCAATGGTTCTCAACCTGTGGGTCACGACCCCTTTGGGGTCAAATGGCCCTTTTACAGGGCCATCAGAAACACCATCAGAAACACAAATGTTTATATTCATAACAGAGACAAAGTTACAGAAACGAAGTAGCAACTAAAATAATTTTATAGTTGGGGGTGACCAAGCATTAAGAAATGTATTAAAGGGTTGCAGCCTTAGGAAGGCTGAGAACCACTGATGTAAGGGTTATAGAACATTCCTAAAATATAGGGCTTTGTATTTAAGTGTTACATGTTCATATATATATATATATATATATATATCAACAGTAAAAACTCTGAGGTTAAGAACAAGTCCTTGGCCAGATTTGGAGAGGCAACTGCCCCGTGACCCTGCACTTGGGGAAGAGAAGTAGGCGTCCACGTTATTTTGATACACAGGGAGTTTGAGGCCACCCTGATTTACATGAGACCCTGTCTCAAAGGAACAAACACAAACAAAAAAACCCACATTCTGCTCCAACATTTTTGCCCATTCACCCTGTCTGACAGACGTCAGCCTAAAGCAGACACTTGATACCGTTAATGGGGCACAAACCAGCAACAAAGCTGGCAGACTGCAATTTACTTAATTTTTCAAATATTTGTTTGTTAAGATTCAACAGATTTCTGCTATCTTCTCTGGCCATACAAATATATATATAACTATAATATATATATATATAAAGAGAGAAAAATAATATTTATTTGTGTGTGTGTGTGCATGAGTGCGAGCACACAGGCTTGCATGCATGGACGTGCATATGTTTGAGTGTCCTCATTTGCATATACACTTATGGAGGCCAGAGATAGTTTGGGTTTCCCCCCCATGACTGTTGGCCTTACATTTGGAGCAGTGTCCTGTCTAAACCTGGAAGCCCCTAAGATTTGTCTTTCTTGCCTCCCAGGGCTGAAGCCAGAGATCCCAGCACTGTCCACCATACTAGTTTTAAAATATGGTTGCTAGGGATCCAAACTCAGGTCCTCGTGCATGTGTAACAAGCACTTCACCTGGTATGCCGTCTTCCCAGACCCTTAGAAACCTTTATTTGTAAATACTAAAAATAAATAAAACATTCTTATTTCATTGAAGAATAATTACCTTTTCTCCAGAAGCAGCTTGGCCCGGCGACAGTCCGGGATCTCCTTTGGAGCCCTGGATAGGAGAGTTAAGGGACACTGTGTGAAGAGACACTTAGATGGTGTGTGCTACTGTGTTCAGTCATGTGTCCACAGATGGTACTGGGTGCAGAACTCGTGCCCGTGTGTTCAGCTCATACACAGTGTATGATGTCAAATAACATTATTTTGCATGCGTGAATTCACAACAGCTGTGGTTTCCACCACAAGCCCTTAAGGATTTTATCATGAATGGAGCAGGAGCCGTCCTGGAGGAACTGGTGGCAGTTAATGGCCTTCTTCATTTCTTCAGTGATGCAGCCTTTGATGAGCTCCTCAGGCACCAGTACACAGCCCCCATTCGTACGTACAAGGGACTTCAATGACCCTCAGTGGGTCACCAGTGAAGAGAAGATGTGAACTTGGAGAGTGACTATCCGTGGGGAAGGGACGAGGATGACAGAGGACACTTCAACATGAAAGTGACTGGAACCCATTAAATTTGTGTGAAAAATGTTAACGAATGAAAAAATAGAGTTAAAAAAACTGTTGAGCTAGAGATGGGTTGTGTTCTTTCTAGTGTGTTTTTAAATCTGATTTGTAAAAGCTGAGATCTCTAATAACATCTTAAGTAAAAATGAGGTTTTAAAAATAAACAATGAGTAATATTACTATTAAGTATTCTCTTTACACAAATAGTGAAGTTTACACTACCTTTGCTACTTTTGAGACACAATAAATTTTCACTATTATTAGCTAAATATATTATTTTGCTATTGATAATTATTTCTCATTAATAATAATTCCATTGTTATAGCACTGAAGTGATGATAATTTAATGAAATAAAATTGCTTATCACAAAATTTAACATTTTACCATATGACTTTACCTGATAATTTTTTCAAAATCTTGAAAGTGCAAGCTAGCATTACTTTTATGGTTAAGAAAAAAATAGAAGTAAAAAGACACTGTTAAAATCTATTCTGTTGTTAAAACAAGATACTTTCCACAGTCAGTGAATTCTTTTATACCTCAATAGAAATAGGACATCAGTCTTCAGTCAGTGTTATTGGACACAGAGCTAAAATAACCTTTCTTGTGATGCTACTGTGGATTGTTCCCACTGAAACTCATGTTGACCTTAATTATTCATTGGGTCATGTTTGTAGGTGAAGGGTATCTGGGTCCTGGGAACAGGGATTTGCTGAAGGCAGACGAAAGGTGCTCACCGAAGCAAGCTGATTTGGATGACTCACCTTAAACTTTGCATCTAGAACCACGGGCTAAAATGAACTTCTTTCCTTCACAAATTTCCCTATCTGTGGTATTCCTTCCTGTCAATAGAAAATCGACGGCTCCAAATGCTTAAGAGAAATGTGTCTTTTTGGCAAAGTATTTGTCAGACCTCATATAATACAGAAGCCACAAGGGGAGTCTTTAAAACTCAGCTCTGAATTTCATTACTATTCTCAGCTAAGAACAAACAGTTCTCCACCATTTTTCACTGCGTGAGAGAAGCAGCTGCATCTTCTTTCGTGGATGTACAGATGCCACTAAACAGCTCGCAAGCTGACCAACCAAGGAGAGGTGGCCAGCGGAGAAGCCCACCTGATGCCCAGTCTTTTCTCTTGACCAATTACAACTTTAGAAGCAAATTAGAACTACAACTAAGAATCCTGCATCCGTCAGTCAAAGAAACTTTTTGAGAGGAAAGTTTGTTTTCTAAGTTGTCTGCCCGAGCCATCATTATTTCTACCAGGGACGCAGCAGTGGTCCATTATTGTTTACAAGGTTGTTGATCTAAGAAACTGTGTGTATGGTATTTTAATGCTTAAGGACCCAACTCATTAAATAACAATAATAACGATAAAATTATAATCTGGGCATAGAAGAAAATGCAGGCACCCGCATCACTTGGCGGCTGAGATAAGATATTTTGAGTCCAGCAGTTCAACACTAGTCATGTTACCACAGCAGAACCCTTATCTCAACAAAACAAAACTCAAAACAACTTTAGGCTAAGTGACATTGTATATATAAAGATGCAATGGAATATAGATAGGCTGCTAGTTTGCTTTTTGTGGCTGTCATAAAATACTGACCAAAAATAACTAAGGAAAGAAAGGGTTTATTTGGCTTACATTTCCCAATCCCAGCCTACCGTTGATGGAAACCAAGGCAGGAATTCAAGCAGGGCAGGCGCCTGGAGGCAGGAACTAAAGCAGAGGCCAGAGGAGGATACTGCTCACTGACTTGCTCCTCGTGGCTCATTTGGCTTGCTTTTTTTTTTACGCTACCCAGGACAACCTGCCCAGACGATCTTGTTAAAGAACCAAGACCTAGGATTGTCAGAGACGTCCTATGTTTCAAGTCTAGCCGGAAAAGCAGAAAACATACTTTTACGATGTCAGGAAAATGACATGATGCTCAACAGGAATTTCTCACCTTTGGACCTGGCAACCCAGGTAACCCAGGATTTCCGTGTGGTCCCGGAATGCCCTGCAAATAGTGAACATGGCTCATTAGTCTAAGAACAGATATGAATAACCGGGCTTCTTTTGACATGCCTATAACTATTACATAGTCTATTAAGATAAATGCTAAAAGTAAAATGAAGCTATGTTTTTTACATTATTCCTCTGCTCCCTTGCTGGTCTAGCCTTGGAATAAATGCTATTCAGACAGCAGAACAGCAGACCGTATCATTTACACCAAAGCTTGTCTTCAGGTGTGGTGTTATCCACATCGCTGTCCAGAGCAGAGTTTACCGCTCCATCTGAGCTTTGAAGAGACAGAAGCCCACCATTGTGTGTTCGTTTGGCTTCTGAACTCTGCAACCTGTGCACCCATTCGTGCAGCCAAGATCTGGATACAGGATGATTAACTTAAATTCTCACTTCACTAACTTTGCCACATCTACCCAAATGCTTCCTCAAATCTCAGTTTGGTTCCAGCTTCCTCTTAAAACCTTGGACTCATCACCATGAGGTAATCTCTCTCTCCTGACAGCTTCTGCTGAGACTACTGCATGTGAGAGTCGTAGAATGTTGCCTCCAGGCATTGTCTACTGTTCTAATCTGTTATGGAAATATCGTGCTATCGTTTCAACTGCATTATGCCTCGTGCTATTTAGTTTCAGGATTAAAATGTTTTTGAAGAGCCCGTTTATCATACTAGCCTAGTATTCCATACAGTATTCTATCAGTCACTTGAATGCTTGCCAATTTGATTGTCCTTTGCTGATAAATTATTATCATCTGAATTTAAAAATTCATTGTATTCCCTGAGAGCCTAGTTTGTGCCTTGAGCTATGATCATACGTGACAATTCTCATTACTAACGCATACAACACCCTGCATGAAAGCTATTTTGTTATTTGGTAGCATACAATCCTTTTTCTAGTGTTTTTTTTCCAAGAAAGACTTCAATAAAAATCTACATTTATTTCTCTAGGTTTGAAAGACACTAATTCTAACAGAGCAACCGAGCACTAATGTTTTGTATGACCCATGTAATGTGAGAAACTACTGCTGATCTATAAGGCAGTTTTTTTCCTTTGTGATTTTTTTTCTAGTCAATAACTCCAGTATTTCCCACTATACAATCCAGGAATGCAGTATTTTAAGGCGGTCTGACCCCCTTCATTTCCCAAGCACATTTTACTATAGAACACTGGCATCACTTTATAACTAAGAATAAAGGAGCCAGCCAACCAATCACAACTCTCAAAAGTTAATCCTATTCCCTGGACATTTTCACAGAGAGCTCTTTGGCTGCCTACTCTCACACATACAAGGCTTCACTGGAGGAACTGAGTGTGAAGACACATGTTCCCAGAGTATGTATACCCTGCCCAGCACTAGGAAAAACAAAACACGCTGGAATGTTACCCTTCTTTCTGAGAACACGGCTTGAAGTCCATCTACTCACCCGCGGGCCTCTCTTGCCTGATGGACCTGGGATACCAATGGGACCAGGGGGACCCTTAGGAAGCAAACATCAAGGCGTTAGGCAGGATAAATAGTAAGCATGTTTTTCTCACAAATATTTATCCTACTCCACAATATCTCCTTCCCCCCATTCCCTGTTCCCAACTGACAATGGTTTTGAAGCAACATTAATCTCTCACCCACATCAGCAGGGATGAGGTGAAGTTCTACCATTTCTCTTTAATCTGGCCAGAAATGGCAGCAGGAAGCCCGTGGCTTATGGTTACAGCCATGATACCTGGTTTTTACAGAGAGTATAACTAGTAGTTTCGTGGATGATTTTTGCCTACATTTATTTTTATTGCAGAAGGAGAAATTCAACTCAGAGTTGGCGCTCAAGTGCAGGTTTTCTTTTCTTTTTCACACCTCAAAAGAGCATCTTAACCTCCAGAAATGAAACACTAAACATTTTGTGTTCTTGTAAAAGAATTATACCAAGGATCTTCATGATGTGTTAAACTGTTATGCGGAGGTATTTCTTATAAAGCATAATAAATCTGTCTTATACCACATGTGACATACCAGGAGCTCACTAATAAAGTTAAATGACTTCTAATGGAAAGATGGCTCAGTGGTTAAGAGCACTGTTGCTCTTGCAGAGAACCTGGATTCAGTTCCTAGTATCCATATGGTGGCTTTCAGCTTTCTATAACCCCAGTTCCAGAGGATCCAATGCCCTCTTCTGGCTTCTGCAAGCACCAGGCATTGATGAAATGCAATTATGTAAATGAAGGCAAAGCAGTTATACACAGAAAATAAAAATAAATCTTAAACTAAAAGGATGAAAAGATAACCATCAGTATGGGAAAATATTTACAAAACATTCCTCAGACAAGTTACTAATAGAATGTATCAGAGCTTTGAAAAACCTCACAGCAAAATAATCTCTTCACATGATCAAATCATCTAAACGAACATTTCTCGATTAAGATATACAAGTGTCTAGTAAGCATGTGAAAAATGTTCAGTTTCCCTAGTTAAAAGCAATTAAAACCACTATGAGATATAATCTCCCCTCAGATATTTTTCCAAAAAGCAAAAAATAACAAATACAGCAAGGATGAAGAAAATCTCATAAACTCTTGTTGGTGGGAATGTAAATCAGTAATGCAATTACAGGAAGCAGTATGGACATTCCACAAAACCTAAAAATAGATCTACCTCACCATCTAGCAATATATAATACCCAAAAGAAATGAAGTTGGCATGGGAGAGAGAAACCTGCTCCTCCATATTCATCACGGCACTACAAGCAACTGCCAAGTGAGGGAACAATCAGGGGATGACAAGGTAACAATACACAGTGTGTGTCGCAGGCTAGGGTAGCATAACTTGGATGGAATGGGAACTCACAGGAAAGTACCATATATTCTCACATAAGCATAGAAGCCAAAATTACAAATATATCTGCCAAAGAAGAGAGCAGAGTGATTTCTAGAGGTCAGAAGAAGGAGGCTATACACAAAACTACTGTGACACAGGGTGCTGTTTCAGGTCCTCCAGTACAGTGGGTGACTAGTTTACAATAACTTATACTTCATGAAGAACTAGTTTACAATAACTTATACTTCATGAAGAACTAGAAGACAGAATTTGGAGGCTCCACAACAAAAACATGATATGGAGATAAAAGTACTTAATATCTTGGTTTTATGTGTTATTGGATTATCATACAATACATAAACGTGTACATTTGCTATATGTCTACAAAGTTATAAATTAAAGATACACTATAGATAAACTGTATAGGGATGAAGACAGACAAATGCTATCACCCAAAAGTGGGAACCTGGGCAGGCCACAGGGCTTGCACAGGACCATCAGGAAGTAAAGCAGCCTCTTCAAGCTCAGAGAAATGTGTCCCCACTCCCATTCTCCCACCAGCACTCTGTCCTCTGCCTTCGGGCTCCCACACTGCTCTGGAGTTGGACTCTGCACGCTCAGCCGTGGCCTTCTCATCAGAAGAAAGGAGGCCACCCTCCTACCTCCACCCAGCTCTCACTCTGACGTCTCTGGGGCTCCCGGCAATGCCAGTCAATTTCTTCCCCCCCCCCAAACAATCTCTTTTTCCCCTGGGTTTTGCAGTAAGCACAATATTTTTCTTTGCAATCATTTCAACTACTCTGTTTTCTTCTTCTCTAACCAGCAAGCAAAGTTTTTCCCGTTTTGGTCTCTTTCTTTGAAAACACTACACAACCTTATCATTCTCAACTGGAATGCTGACAAGGAAGACTCTCAGATTTGTACCCCAGCCTTGACTTCAATTCTTCAACTCTTTCGCCTGAATGACTTATTACCCTTCTTATTGAGCATCTTCTGCTGGTGGCGTTAAATGGACAGATTCTCATCACTATTGCTATTCTGTCTGTAACCTTAACACATGACAACAATCTCCCATTCTCTGTTTTTACTTGAAATCTAGACCCAATTAATGCCCAGTTCTATCATATATCTTCCTTCAGAACAGATAGATATTATATATCTTCTTTCAGAACAGATATTCTATATCTTACTTCAGAATCTGACCTTCCCATTTTCACTTCTGCAAAGCCAAATAATGTCCAAATAATACAACAGCAATATGGAACCATGAACTTCCCACCTATTTTGGTACTAAGGCCAGAATGACTTTTGTTAGTTAGTGTTCTTGCTTAGAAACCTGTCAAAGTCCTAAGAATAATATAAAGTTCTGTCAGTTTGACAGTTAAGATTCTCCATGATGTGACGCTACCTTGCTTGGGTTTTGTCCATTACTATTTAGCTTAACACAAGAGACTTTGGCCTTAGAGACAGAAAATCTGTATTCAAATGCTGGGTGTATCCCTTGCAAGCCATGCTATTATTGGCAATAAACTCCTTTGGTTTTTGGTTTCTTTCACTGGAACCTGAGGACAATTGTACTAATGTTACAAAGCTCTTTCAAAAGAATGCATGTGAAGGGCTTGTTAGAGCATCGCCCGCAGCAGTGAGTGACAGCCACCATTCTGTTCTCCCCATGTTAGGAAGGGGAATCTGCCTTTCTCATCTGTAAAAATATTTACCCCTTAAGGCCAAGTCCCACATAATTCTGTCATAAGACCCTAATGCAGTGATCTACATGGGATTGTTCCTAGAGATCTACCCCAAAATATTATTTTTTCACCCCACACATTTAGTTTATGAGATTATGGCTTTCAGCCACATATGATCTATTCTGTTGTTTTCAATTGTGCATATGTACACATAAGTGTGTGTGTGTGTGTACTCACACTTACAAGTGCAGTGCCTTCAGTGGCCAGAGGTTCCAGATTCCCTGGAGTTATAGGCAGTTGTGAGCTGCCCAAGGTGAGTGCTAGTAACTGAACTAAGGACAGAAGCAGTGCTATCTCTTGAAACACTGAGCCATCTCTCCAGCACCCGAAAGCGTGCATCTTGCTTCACCACAAGATATAGTTGCACGCATACTTAGTTTTTTTCTTATTGAAATGTAGACTCCTGCAGAACAAAGCAGCTGTGCTTCTGCCTCAAACTCTGCAGAGATTAAGGATATGTCAGCTGAACATATTATTGCTTTACAAATCCAGATGGAATAACGACGTGGGGCTTTACAGAACAGATTAGCAGAACAATGCTCACCCCACTACTCTGACTTTCTGAGGAAAGTAGGTGGCTACCTGTAGCTCCTTGTAAGTACTGTGAAGGTGGTAATTCTGTATAGCAGTGCGCCTGCTGGGTTTATTATAACCCCCAACAGTTTGCTGTAAGAAGAGTTGTTAAGAATTCAGCTGCCTCAAGTAATAACCACAAGGAAACACCAGCCAAGAACATGGCATCATCTTCTCTCGGTCTATGGTTTCTAGAATTCAGTCGATAATTGCCGTTGTATTTTCATCAAATGAAGACGTGTCTTGATGGCATTAGAGAGATGGCTCATCAGGTAAGAGGACTTGATGTTCTTACAGAAGACCTGGGTTTGAGTCTCAGCACCCACATGGTGGTTCACAACAGTCTGCAACTCCAGGAGACTGAATGCTCTCGTTTGGCCTCCATGGCCACCAGACATACATGTGGTACACAGACATGTGCAGGCAAAACATCCACACACATAACATAATAAAAGTACTAATAAAAAGCAGTGCCTTAGGACACACTTAGTATTCTTACAATTTTGAAATAAAATTCTAAAGACATACTGGCAAATTACTTGACATATACAAATATCAAAGGCAAAACAAGCAGTCACAACACTAATGGAAATGAGGTTTTTAAATGATTTTAGAAAGTTTCAAATGCTGATCTCTAATTGTACCTTGCATAATGGAAGAAATTTAGAACTGAGAAGTTCAGATCAATGTTTTACAACTTTGTTTGAGTATTAGTGGATTGTCTTGGGGTTCTCCATTAAATAGGCTGATCTTTTTTTAAACCAATGTAGGTTGACTGGGTATTTTTATATTAAGTAAGTAGAGCTTATATTAATCCATCTGTAAGTTGGCTACATCATTAAAGAGATGATGAAGTACATTATATACCATGGAAATGAAAATACTTCACTGAGAATGGTAACATCGTAGTTTGCTTTGTTTCTAGCATTTTCTACAAAATAGCATCTATCTAAAAACAAATAATACACTTTGACAATCCATTTAATGTTATTTTGATAACAGCATATGTAATTGGTATATTTATTATATTTTTCATAATCTAACTTTTATGTATCCTTTTTACATAACTAGGCATTGAGCTGCTTTTGTTTTTCGTAAAGAATATAATTTGCAGTTAAATTCCTGGTTGGATTTCAACTGAATTAGAAAAACCATATAGCTTCTCCACCTCTTTACTGAGAATTAGGTAACTTTCCAGCCTGCCAATTAAAACAGGGTAATTTGAGACAGGATTGTATACTGGTTGATTTGTTATAATAAGCATGACGTCACCCACTGTGGCAGGATACATTACTTAGATAGCTCTAGTCTGTCGTAGAGTGTATGGTTCAGACACTCTCTGAAATACATGGTAAGTTAATGCATTAAGACATATTTTAAAAATAAAATCCAACTTACGGGAGGTCCAGGGTCCCCTTTTGGCCCTCTCATATACTCCATGTCAAGCATTGCAGTATAATCCTCATAATAATAATAATCGTAAGGCTGGGCTTCATAGCTAATTTCGGTGGGGTAAGTAGCATCAGGGTAAAATTCACCTTCCTTCTTTAGTTCAAGGTGGTTATCCACAGAGGGCCCATGTGTCACTCTATACAGGGTGGTGTTTAAGATCTGCTCCATTTCCATGAGTTCATTGGTGTGTAGATCTGCTGTGACAGCCTTCTTGAAATTAGTCATGGTCTCTTGATTTGTGTGTGCAATGTTAGATGATGCTTGCTTAGTCACGGGCGGGCCAACTACTTCCTCACCGTGTTGGGTGAAGTTGTCTGATCCAGCTGTATGTATCCTTGCCTCACTTGGGTGATGATGAGACACTGACAGGTTGAAATTTGTCTCTTCCTCAGTGGTAAATTCTTTAGTTTTGATTCCGTAGTTTGGGAGAGTCACGGCTGAGACGTTTCCTGAATGGAAAGATGTTAGCTGGGACCTTGGTATCTGGTGCTCTTGGCTTTTATGTGCTGTGGCAGAATTGTTGTTTCTGATATTTGGAATGTTTTTGGAATCAGAGAATGCCTTCTGTGGCAAGTCTGCTTCCCCAAATCCTTTGGGCAAGGGGGTGCGATCTGTGAATGTCTTTTTTGGTAATTCTGTCTCACCAAATCTTTTGGGCAAGTGGGTGTGTTCTATGAATATCTCCTGTGGCAATTCTGTTTCACCAAATCCTTGCGGCAAGGGAGTGTGCTCAGGGTGTCTGGTTGGCATTCCCGCTGTATGAGGAAGGTTTGTTTCAGCTTGGGATACGTCTGCTCGGGGACACTGCTGTTTCATGTATCTGCAGTAGTCTGCAGAGGCTGCTGTGGAAGGGATGATCTCCAGCTGACACACTGTCCCTTCAAAGTGGACAGAGTTATTATTCATGCTTCCCAAGGTGAACACACTACAAGAGTCAAAGGCCTGAACTTCTGAAGTGGTCTCTCCACTAAAATATCTCTTTCCACATTCAACAAACATGGAGACAGCTCGGTCTCCGACAGTGATGGCAAGCGAGTGCCATCGCTCATCATGGACGCTGTAGTTGAAAACGACCGATTGCTTCCCTCCAACATGCACTACTAGTTTCTTAGGTAGTAACTGGACTCCTAATTGCAGCCTGTTGTTGTTCCGAATGCTGAAGAGGAACGCGTTGTTCGCTTTCTGTGACTGCAACCCAATCAGCACTGTCAGTGGCTGTCTTAAAGTAACTGGTAAAATGTTCACTAGAGGTGCCTCAATATAGGCATTGTTTTTGAAGATGGCACCAAATTCTGTTGACTGGACCCTCTGAGGTAATGGTATGGATGACGACGGCACGGCAGTCACTGGTGATGTGTGTCTTACATCTTTGCCTCCAATGCCTAGCTGGTGAAGAATATCTATGCCTAGAAACGAAAAGAGAAGAAGGCAGAAAGGCTCTTACTTACCTATTCATACAAATTTTTGCGTACAAAAGAACTGTTTTCTATAAGCACCATAATCACGCTCTATCAACAAGTAATTTCTAGGTAGCAAACGCTAGTGAAGGAGGTGTCACCCATTAGTAGTTTGAATGACAGCTTCTGAAATGTCATTTATGTCCTGAACTTATAGCAACATTTAATGACGACTGTGTTCAAACAAAACTGAGACCCTGTTGACAAGAGTAACTTGTAACTCACAGTTCTTTTATATAAATTAAGTTCACACCATCACTTAAATTCTAATTTTTCAAACCCCTGGGAATGTAATTAAAGCTTTCTGTGACTAATACTTTAATTATATATTGCACTTAAAGCTCCTTGGCTACCCAAATCCCCCTTAGTGAGGCATGAAAAGGGATTTAAATTTGTTTTGTTTTGAGCGTTGCTCTATTTCTGTTCCTTTCATGCTTCTCTCTCTTTCATATTCCAGTTCTCTTCAGTGAGTTTTATCCAATCCGTAGACTCTTTTTCAATATTTATTATGTAACGCATAGTTTCTATAATACGGTTTTAATATAGTCGTGGATTTAAAAAATCTATTGTTCATTATACTATTGCCAGTAGTGGTCTGCTTACCTCTCTCACTCAACTGTTAAGTCCTGAAAGACAGTTTCTGTCTGATTCATTCTTATGCTTCTACTATTTCCTTGCAGAGTTCTCAAAGTTCTGAATGAATGAGCTGGTCCCACCAGAATTCAATCAGATTTCATATTTGCTTTAGAATCATATAGCTTTTCATGTCATTCATTAAATAATGAATGAATCATTTCTTAAAAATACAGCCTACTTAGTCAAAGGTATGATTCTATGATCCCATTTGCATCTGTGTGTGCTTCTAATAATCTCTGAGTAAACATGGCAAAGGCTTACAATATGTAAAGGAAAATAAAAAGCACAATTAGCTAAGGATATTTGGCACTATTAATTTCCTTTTTGGAGCAAAGCAGTAGATATTTGACTGTTTCTATTCATTGCAAAGAATAAAGCTTGAAGAGAGACTGAGGCCCAAGCCTCACAACTATGAATAACGATTAAATAATCACAGAATATTATTTATCTGTAATCTAGTACTAGATTTAAAGTGCTTTCTCACAGAGACATGTACAAACACTCCACTGAGTTAGACTACAATTGCTAGCTGTTAATGAAATAGTTATAGCAATTATAAAGGTAATGACTGTTTACATCAAGACATTATGTGATAGCAAGTCTCAAACTTTCCCATAAAAATATTTTCAACAGCAATGCAGAAATTTAAGCTCCCCCAAGATTCAATGGCCCATTCTAAAGCAATAGCATATAATTCACAAAATATATCTTTGATTTCTCATGTTATTTCAGTATAACTAATGTGAAATTTTTATTATAATCCACAAATGCTTGTTTATTTTCATATGCAAAATAAACTTACCAGATAACTTTGTTAACTGTACTCATCACCAATCTCTAACAAAAGTCACACTCTTGGAGTTTTTGCCCTGCCAATCTATGACTTGAGGGAATCCTGCCTAGTGATCTGTGACTCCAAGTACAACCCTATCTCAGTCCCAGGACAAAGCCACAGAGGAGTGCTGCTTCTTTGAAAATTGCAGTACTTAAATTGAAAGCATATAATACCATAGAGTTTGTGAAAATTATTATTCATTTTTCAAAATCATTGTAGACACTATGTGCCAAGTAAGCCAGTCATCCTGGCACAAGGTAAGTCTCTGGTACAGCATCAAGGGTTGGTCTTTGTCCTGAGAAAACACACTTTGCAAGAGTGTCTCTGTTTCAAGTAGTAGTTTGGTCCTATTAAAATGAGATGCCATTAGGAAGAGTGTCAAGTTGAAAACTTAAGAATGGATATGTGTCCTTGATATCTTACTGGTACTTCAGTATCCTTCCTCCAGTTCTGCTGAATTTCATCATTTATAGTGACTAACTTGTAAAAGAGTCAGATGGCTTGGAACAGTCATCCCTCAATGAGTTCTCTATTAAATGAACTGAGAATGCATTCCTCAGACAGTCTGCTTGCTGCTGTGTGACAATCCTTTATACTTGATTTCATTCTCAACTAATAATTTAAGTAGAATTCAAGCATCAATGCACATTCAGCTAATCTACCTTTTTACCTTATTGTCCTATCCCAGTGGTATCACAATTTCATTATCATGTCTTGGGACACTAAATAAATTTAATAATTAAGTGAATCTAAATGATTGTGGAATTATCTTCCTATTTCTCATGACATAGAATTCTTCAGCCAACTGGACTCACCACATACGCTTTTTTCACTGACCCCTCAATGTTCACCCTCCTCTTCTCTTCTGCTGAGTTCCAACTCATGGCTGCTCCCGGAGTCAATTATTTGTAGAAATACAAACAACATGAAGTTTGTATTTTTATAAGAAACAATAAATTTCATGAAGGATATTAAACGTACTACTCAGAAATCTGTAGGTAATATTCTTCATTGTCCTTTTCCGGGGACATATTTTGTAGTTCTTTTCTGGTTTTTTGTTTGTTTGTTTTCCTTTTTCGAGACAGGGTTTCCCTGTATTGTTTTGGAGGCTGTCTTGGAACTTGCTCTGTAGACCAGGCTGGCCTCGAACTCACAGAGATCCACCTGCCTCTGCTTCCCCAGTGCTGGGATTAAAGGCGTGTGTCACCAACGCCTGGCCTATATTTTGCAGTTCTTTTCTGGTTGGGGTATTTTGCTCTGTTCTTGAGATAATGCCCCTTCTCATCATCTCAGAAGTGCAGCCTTTTGATTGGCTTCTCCACTTTGTCTGTTTTTTTATGTTGTGAGTTAGAGTCAGGCTTTAATCTAAACCTTCACTACTTTTCTTTTTCTAATTTGGGAAGGTGAGTCCGTTGGTTACAAAGGTATTTAAGCTAAACATCAGCCTGACCAAGGCTTTAGCCATGTCTTCTAGATTTTACAGGTGCTATATTCATTGCTAGTTTTCCAGAAACTTTTTTTTTTTGGTTTTTTGAGACAGGGTTTCTCTGTGGCTTTGGAGGCTGTCCTGGAACTAGCTCTTATAGACCAGGCTGGTCTCGAACTCTTTTTTATGTATTTCCTATTTCTTTTTAAAGTTCCTGCTACAAGTTTCATATTTTACTTTGCTGTCTGCTGTTGTCACTAAAATCTGACCTAACAGCAATGTGGCTAGAGAATGGTAGAAATTGATTTTAGCTTGAATATTTTTCAATCCCAGTAATGCTTCCTTCCTAAGTACCTGCAAAGGTATTTGTGAGGACTTTAGCGTGCCCTGTGGACTTCAATGTTCACTTCCTGTATTCTTTGTTTCTTTACGTTTATGTAAGTAATCCATCAGAAATTTCTTAATTTGCTAATTAGATCTATTTCTCTTTTACTGTGTCTCCTGCACTGTGCAATCTCCCTCTGTGCTCTTTCCAGTACCATCTCAGTCTACAAGGTTTTATTTCTAGGACCTTTGAGCTCTATAGAGCCACAATTCAAATCTATCTTAACTTCCTGTCAGCTCTTCATTTTCCCTCTTTTGTTCCTGCTTCATTGTCTTTTATTAACAGGGGTGATCTGGCTTGACTTTTTCTCTTCTTTTTTAATAAGTGATCAGAATATCTGATCATCTTACAGCAATATTCTTTGAATGAGTCATTTTTTGCCACATTTGTTTGCATTTTTCTTTGGTATATTTCTATTTATGCTGCATTAGATCCTTTTACTTGCCCATCATTTCCCTTCCGAGCTGTGAGAGATGCTGTGAGAAAAGGACCTTACCTTCCAGCTCTCCAGGCTCCTCCAGTGTTACCAGCGTTCCTCTCTAAGATTAACCCCTTGTGTTCCTGCCTGTCTGTGGACCACAGCAGTCCAGGAGGATGCCCACAGGCATCTCTGTGTTCCTGTCTGTGGACCACAGCAGTCCAGGAGGACGCGCACAGCCATCTCTGTGTTCCCGCCTGTCTGTGGACCACAGCAGTCCAGGAGGACGCGCACAGCCAGCTCTGCCTACCTCATTCTCCTTCCTCAAGGCTCATTTGTCCAAGCTTCAGAATGAATCCATCACCTCAGGGATTGAATCTTCGCTCCAAGTCACCAGTCCTAGGATCTGTGCTTAGTGCTTGTCCCTGCGCAGTCTCTGCCCTCCTAGGACCCCCTAGGGCTTCTTATGTGCCAGGGTTAATTATTCAGTACTTCCTTTCAGAGCTTTGGCTTCTGTTCCTGCTTTCTCGGATCTTACTGCTGAATTGTGTCATCTCTGTGTGCCATCTCCTTTTTCATTCATATCTTAGCCCCTGGAGAATTTATCTCCTCATTTCCCCCTAAACCGACAAGTTTATGATTTACTTCTATTTAGCTTGTTTCTGGCGTACTGCATACAGAAACAGAAGTGGGAAGTAATATCTTGGTTTCATGTTTACTTAGTGTATGCCCAGGGATTAGAGAGATGGCTCACGTTGTTACTCTTGCACTGGGTTTGTTACCAGCATCAGTGTGGTGGTTTCCAACTATAAGTAACTGTTTAATGGAGTCAGTGCTCCCTTCTGATCTCAGCAGGTGTCGGGTAACTGGAGCACGGAGACACATGCAGGCAAAGCACTTAAATGTGTACAATAAAATAAATCTAAAAGGAAAGGAAAGTCTTGCCCACTTGACAAATGATGAATCGAGGAAACACAGAAATGATATAATCGGATCAAGGTCATACAACCAGTAAACAGTTGAGCTGGGTTTGAGCTATCAGTCTGACCTTAAGATCAACACAATGGCTGCCTCATCCCATGGCTTGATAGCGGTCATTCTTTCATACATCACTTTTACAGACACCACTAACTAACCATGGCAGGATTACCCCCCCCCAGCTAAAACTGCATGGTGGGGTATATCTCTACAGTTGAATTGACATTCATCTCTCATGTAGCTGTTTCCTCTGAAATGAAACATATCCTGC